CAAATAAAATCAGACCTGTCTAGATGGGAGATTCTCCCTCTGTCCTTTTTGGGCAGAATAGAAACAGTGAGAATGAATATACTCCCACGATTAATGTATCTATTTCAGGCACTTCCTATTTGGATACCTGCCTCCACTTTTAAAATTTTAGATAAAATTATTAATAACTTTATTTGGCAAAGGAGGAAAGCAAGAATCAGACAGAAGTTACTGTTAAGCCCAAGAAGAATAGGTGGCCTTGGTTTGCCTAATTTGAAATTGTACTACTGGGCAGCACAACTTAGCGCGGTGGTCCAGTGGCTTGTGCAGGATGAGGAGACGAACTGGATTGGTCTGGAGAACAATGCTTGCCCACTGGTACCTCTTGAAGCAATGCCATTTATGGAGGGAAAAAATTGGAAGGATTTAAAAATTGAAAATGAGTGGATTAACTGTACATACAGAGTCTGGTCTCTAGTGAGGAAGAAAATAGGAGCACCTTTAACTATATCACGCATGATAAAAATAGCCAAGATTACTGACTTTTTTCCAAACAAGCTAGATACGGGTTATCAGAGATGGGCTCAGAAAGGATTAATAAAAATTAATCAGTTATTCAGTGGAGAAAATATTAAGACCTTTAAGCAATTACAGGACAAATATGGATTATGCTCAAAAGATTTCTATAAGTATTTACAATTAAGAGATTATCTTCTATCACATAAAGAATGGCCTAAATTGAAACAAAATACTTCACCTTTGGAAATATTTTTGATAAAATGTGTGGAGGAAAATAATAAGAGGAAGATCATATCTAATCTATATAAACATTTACAAATGCATTTCTCTGACAGCTCTATAGACATAAAACAAAAGTGGGAACTTGAAATGAATATTGTTATTGAAGATGAGGAGTGGGAGGAGATTTGTGAGAAAGGTTTTAAGATCACCCACAGTCCAAATTGGAAAGAATTTGACTGGAAGTTAAAAATGAGATTCTTCAAAACACCTTTCAGTATTTCAAAATACGACAGAAATGCTACAAATATGTGTTGGAGGAATTGTAGTCAGATTGGGGATCACACTCACATTTTTTGGGACTGCCCAGTACTGATTCCATTCTAGCAGGGGGTTCAGACAGAAATTAAAAATATACTCAAGTTTACGTTACCACTGAACCCACTGCATTATATACTGGGTTTGACCCCAGGAGATGATATTGGGAAAAAGGAAGTCCAGTTACTACAGATCCTGCTACTAGTAGCAAGACAAATTATAACTTTGTCTTGGCTCAAGCCTTTGCCTCCCACCCTTCAACAGTGGCAAGACAGATTGAAGAATGTGTATATCATGGAAAAGATAACAGCAAAACTTCATGTAAAAATTGACATTTTTTTGAGTGTTTGGACCCCAGCTATTTCCCACTTTGGATGGCCACTTTGATAAAGATGCTAAAACTGCTAATCCCCTTGACATGTCTCTCTCTTTTAATGAAAGACACTGGATATAAACATTTCTCTTTCATGTGAGCCGATGAGAACCTCTAAATGTCAATTGCCAAAATGGACTTAAGTGTTTGCTGAGACCCCCCCCCCCCGTTTTTTTTTTTTGTTTTTTTGTTTTTTTGTTTTTTGTTTTGTTTTTCTCTATGTAAGTACATGCATAAATATACATATGTATATGTTCTGGATTCCTAATAATCTTAAATAAAGAATGTTAAAAAAAAAAAAATACTGACAGGGTCATCATAGTGGGAGATTTTAACATCCATGCTGACATTGAAGGCGATAGCTTAAGAGCAGCCTTTAATGCTATCTTAGACACTATTGGCTTTGTTCAAAATGTGAATAGTCCCACGCATTCTCATCTTCATACTTTGGATCTTGTGCTGACATACGGCATAGAATGTGAAGAAATAACAGTATTTCCTCACAACCCTGTCCTCTCTGACCACTTTCTAATAACCTTCAGGATTACTTTAACAGAGTTCTCCTCCCCCAAAATAAGGTTACATTTTAGTAGATCTTTATCAGATAGTGCAGTTATAAATTTTAAAGAATCTGCTTCACTTTCTCTCTCCTCTGTGTCACTGAGCAGTGCTGCAGAGTGCAAAAGCTTAGCTTATTCCCCTTCACAGGTTGATGATTTTGTTGATGGGGTTGCTAGTTCTCTGCGTACTGCCTTAGACAACACAGCTCCTTTGAAAATGAAAACCGTTTAAAATAGAAAGCTTGCTCCTTGGTTTAATGCAGAGCTGCGTACTTTGAAGCAAAATGCTAGGAAACTGGAGAGAAAATATCGCTCCACAGGCCTGCGAGAGTCCTTCCTAGTCTGGAAAAATGGTTTACTGCTGTATAAGAGGACCCTTTGTAAAGCAAGAGCAGCATACTTCTCCTCATTAATAGAGGAGAATAAGAATAATCCTAGATTTCTTTTTAATACAGTTGCCAAACTCACCCAGAGCCATAGCTCTGTTGAACCGTCCATTCCACCTGCTCTTAGCAGCAATGATTTTATGGGATTCTTTATAAATAAGATTGATCTTATTAAAAATAAGATCATAAGCACTCCTCTATCCGCGATTGTACCTGAGGTAGTGATGGAATCTGAACCGGGTTTAGACTGCTTTGATCCAGTTGAACTTCCTGAATTAGCAAAATTATTGTCTTCATCTAAGCCTTCAACTTGTATGTTAGATCCAGTTCCAACCAGGTTATTTAAGGAGGTATTCCCTTTGATCTCCTCCTCCATTTTAGATGTGATTAATCTATCTCTGTTACAGGGATATGTACCTAAAGCTTTTAAGGTTGCTGGAATTAAACCTCTGCTTAAGAAACCGTCTCTTGACCCAGATGACTTGGTCAATTATAGACCTATATCCAATCTTCCTTTCTGATCTAAAATTCTTGAGAAAGTAGTTGCCAAACAAGTGTGCGATCACTTCCACCATAATGAACTTTTTGAAGAGTTTCAGTCTGGCTTTAGAGCTCATCATAGCACTGAAACAGCTCTGGTGAAAGTCACTAATGATATTCTCATGGCCTCAGATAATGGACTTGTATCTGTGCTCGTCCTGTTGGATCTCAGTGCTGCATTTGATCCAGTTGATCATAATATTCTTTTAGAAAGACTTGAATATTTTGTTGGAATTAAAGGAACAGCACTAGACTGGTTTAAATCTGATCTATCTGATCGATTTCAGTTTGTTCATGTTAATGATAGATCTTCAACATGCTCAAAGGTTACCTGTGGAGTACCACAGGGATCAGTGCTAGGACCAATTTTCTTTACTTTATACATGCTCCCAATCGATAGAGTTATTAGACAGCATGGGATTAATTTCCACTGTTATGCTGATGATACCCAGCTATATCTGTCTATAAATCCAGATGAAGCTAACCCATTACATAGATTACAGGCATGTCTGAAGACATAAAAACCTGGATGACTCTTAACTTTCTGCTTCTGAATGCAGACAAAACAGAAGTTATAGTCTTTGGACCAGAGTCTTTGAAAAAGAAGCTGATTAGTCAGTCACTTCATTTGGATGGGATTAAACTGATTTCAGATAATAAAGTAAAAAATCTTGGTGTTATTTTTGATCAGGACCTGTCATTTAAATCCCAGATCAAAGAGGTTTCTAGAATTTCCTTCTTTCATCTGAGGAATATTGCAAAAATGAGCAATCTCCTGTCCAGGGGTGATGCTGAGAAACTAGTCCATGCATTTGTTACTTCAAGGCTGGACTATTGTAATTCTTTACTATCAGGAAGTCCACAAACTGTAGTTAAAAGCCTTCAGCTGATCCAAAATGCTGCAGCCAGAGTTCTAATGAAAATGAAAAAGAGAGATCATATCTCTCCTATCCTGGCTTCTCTTCATTGGCTTCCTGTTAAATCCAGAATAGAATTTAAAATCCTCCTTCTCACATATAAAGCCTTAAATGGCCAAGCTCCATCTGATATCAGAGATCTGATTGTTCCTTATGTTCCTAACAGAGCACTTTGCTCTCAATCTGCAGGTTTACTAGTGGTTCCTAGAATTTCTAAAAGTAGAATGGGAGGCAGATCTTTTAGTTATCAGGCTCCTCTCCTGTGGAACCAACTACCAGTTTTAGTCCGTGAGGCAGACACCCTGTCTACTTTTAAGGCTAGGCTTAAAACTTTCCTTTTTGATAAAGCTTCTAGTTAGAGTGGCTCAGGTTATCCTGAGCTATCTCTATAGTTCTGCTGCTATAGGCTTAGACTGCTGGAGGACATAGGGACCCCTTTTTCATCATTCTGCTTCATTCTATCTCTATTCTCCCACTCTGCAGAATCTGTTAGTTCAATCTCTAACGTTCTGCTCTCTCTGCTTTTTCTCATAGTAGCTTCATCTGGTCTGTTCCTGTTTGGCTGTGACTCCATCCTGGAGAGAAATATCAGCTGTGCTGCTGCCATCAACACCTTTGTTTCTAGATCTTGGAGCTTTGCCTGATTTCCAGTGTAGTCCTGTTTCTCTGACTGTGACTAACTGGATGTGCTCTCTTCATCCTCTGACATGGGAGCTGGCTCGGAGCTCGTCTGCCTGGCTGTGTGTTTCCTGGACGGGGCCGCCTGTGGAGCTGGTTGACAGTTGCCTTTTGTATCTATGCTTCTTTTTCTATGTCCGCTTCTGTCCCCTTGAACCCCAGTCGGCCTCAGCAGATGGCCGCTCACACTGAGCCTGGTTCTGCTGGAGGTTTCTTCCTGTTCAAAGGGAGTTTTCCTCTCCACTGTCGCTACAAGCAGGCTTAGTGTGAGGGATTGCTGAAGAGTCAATGAGTCGATGCAATCAGCTGGTTTTCCTTAGATAGAAAACTTTGAATCAATCTGACTGGATGATCTGGTGAACTGGAAAGTGCCTTGAGATGACATGTGTTGTGAATTTGGCGCTATATAAATAAACTAAATTTAATTTAATTGAATTTATAATTATATGATTTTTTTTGTTAGGATCAACATGAGAACTAAATTTTAAACAGCATCACACAGTCACACTAATGACATTTTATATATTTAATGCAGAAAAACAGTGCAGTGGGTATCAGGCTTGGGAATGGTTTTGAAATTCAGATCTCTTCATTATGTTCTTCGGCCTCCCAGGATTCCTTAATGTTCACCGTTCATCTTTGGAGCTCCTGGATCAAGGCTTAAAAAGACAAAGTGATAACATGTCATATTGTGGTGCAAGCACAGAATACAACACATAAAAACTCGTCTAAATCTAGGAGCTGGACTTAACAGGAAAATTAAACCTTTCTTGTTTCTTGTTTGACTTGTGGAAGATAACTTCTGATTTAAAATAGTTTGATACTTTACCTTTGATAATTTCTTCCTTCATTTCCTGAAGTTCTTTTTTCACCTCCTCTATGATCTCCTTTAAACACAAATAGCTGTTAGATTGGTTTAGCTTTTAAATAGTTCATTAGTTTAAAACTAACCTTAAGAGATAATCAAGCAACATAACACAATGTCTTTCAATGCAACATCTGATTGACACTAATTTAAATATAAAGTTTTGATCAAACCTGTTTGATACGTGCGATATCACCATCACCTTCTGCACAATCAGAGTTTTTCGTCGGCACTTTTAGCCTGTTGAGGTAAGAGAAAGTTGTGCTTTCAATATTGTTTTAGACAGACCCAAAAGTACTTCATGCTGTCACTGAAAGGCAATAACTACTGAAAACATAATTTTTCTTATTTGCAAGACACAAAAGAAATCTTTTTCTGACGACTTGTAATTGTTAGTAAATAGTTCAAATGACATGTGCTTGTGATCTGAAAATAGATTAATAGATAGGCTGACCAGACATCCTCCTTTTCCCGGAAATTTCCTACTTTTCATACCTAAAAAAAGGTCTGGGGGAATTTCAAAATCATCTGGGATTTTGGTCGACTACAGTGCAGTGCAGCACGTAGTTGCATTTCACTGCTTAGAGAGTCGCTACGTGGTTGAAGGAGAGACACACAGCAGCACTCAGTGAATATTAACCAGCAGCTAATTCCGTGTTTAAGTAAATGTTAGGAGACGGGTTGGTTACGAGTTGCCACCAAAAAATCTGTTCGTTAGCAGAGGTGTCAAGTAACAAAGTACAAATAATTCGTTACTGTACTTAAGTACACTTTTTAGGTATCTTTACTTTACTCCATTACTTATTTTCCTCCTAATTCCTGCTTCTGCTCATTACATTTTCACACAAGTATCTGTACTTTCTATTCCTTACATTTTTAAAACAAACGTTGCTCGTTACTCTTGGCTCTGGTTTAATGCAGAGGTCACGGATTAGCGGACCGCGGTTCGGTGTTATGCCGAATAGTGCATCCCTGCCAAGATATGCATCCACAGTCGCGGAAGCGCGCCTCGCTCTGCACAACTGAGGCTATCGACGAGGAAAGCAGATTCAAATGGGACCAATGGCGCTACTTGTTGTTATATTAATGATATAAAAATGTTTAAATATTTCTCTCGTGGGAAAAAGTTTGTGGTTATTTGGCAAATTCATTTACAAAAGTACAGGCGTTATGAACAACATTAAATCCAAAGATTTTGTCCGAGGTACGGCTGATTGATTTGTTCTAGGCTCTTGTTATTTACACATAACAATGAACAGTGATGCCGACGGGAGTTTGGAAACTGCAAAGCTTTGTCTTAAGCGGAAAATCAAACCCGCATCTACACAGCACAGCGTTCACAGACCAGTGTGATACATTCGCAAGCGTCAGATAGCTATGGTGCATTCAGGAGAATAGGACATTTCACATTTACAAGGAAAGATACATAAATGGAACAGAACTTAATTCATACAATAATGTATTTATTCAGAAACATTGTGGGCTTTCTAACAATACTGAATGCTCTATAATTGTATTTCTGTTATTCTTTGATTATGCACAACTGCTAGCTTTTTATTCCAAAAATTCTATACTATTACAGCAGAAAATTATCAAAGTTTTTCAAAAGCTTTTTTAAAAGCTCCAAATGAAGCTTCAGATCAGACAGCGACAATTACGCTGTCAGTGTTTTACAGTAGAGACTGACATTTTTTCGGGAATCCGACGGGTCACTGGATTCCCGTGGGATGGGAGTCAGTATTAGTAATGATCACGTGATTGCGATGGTACAGGATTAAACATTAACGGGAGTAGACGGGAGCGGGAGCAAACCAATAGCAACTAAAAAAACTAGGATCGATGCCAAAAAATTTAATAAAATAGAAAGAAAAAAAATCCAGTACTGGCGCCGCCATTTTGTAGTTTTTTTTCTTGAAGACTACAGTATAATGCGAGTCAAAAAAAACTACACGACCCAAAAACCAACAGTGCTTCCGCTCTGAGTTTTTCACTCGCGCTCAAAAATGACAATGCATTTGCTGACCCTTGTCCTTTAACTACTGATGGATATACAGTCATACAAGAGTCAACACCTCTGAGATAACAAGCGATGCAATTAATGGCAATTTCTATATATTTTTTTTTCAATTAAAAAATTCAGTGTATAACATGAATGCATAAATACCTCATTTTATTTCAGTGTTAAATTCTGTTTATAAATGCTAAAGGAAATCATCAGAAGCCAGCAGGTGTTCTTCAAACTGCTAACGTGAATTGTCTATGCCATGCTACAATGTGGGATTCAGAAAAAGATGTTGAAATGTCTGAAAGGTCGGACACAGGCGAGAGCGTATCGGGAGACGGAGACCAACAAGACCTCCCTCATCCATGGCCCTATCTCAAAGAATTTATAGAAATAGTCGAAGCTTTCAGTTCATATAGCGGCATCTGGCCGTTTTTTCTTAAGGTTACTTTATACTTCTTTTATACTTTAAGTTGTTTTTGGAGCACATACTTTTTCACTTTTACTTGAGTAAAGAGCTCAAGTTGATACTTCAACTTTTACCAGAGTGTTTTTAAACTGCAGTATCTATACTTCTACTGAAGTAACAAATGTGTGAACTTTAGACACCACTGTTGGTTAGACATACTGAGCTTTTTCAGCTAAAAATGGCAACAGATTGTAAGTTTAAACAAGTTGGTGTTGTAATGCAGACGCTTGAGAAAACATAGTTTGTTCTTCTTTACTAGTTAAAAAAAGAGGACCATGACTCCCAGTTACAGGTTAAGCAGGGAGAGCTGCAGATTTAAAGTTGAAACTGATTTACTGGGATATGCAACATGCAATAAAATATATCTCCAAGTTTACCAGAAAGTTTACAAGAAAAAAACATGCCATTCTATATTTAAAATGCAACATATGCATGTTTTTCCAGATGGACTTGAAATTGAATGGAATTAAAGTTCTAGGGTTGCATGATTTATCAAAGTTGGCATTGGAATTAACTCTTATTAATTATTTTTTTCATACAATGATATTTTGGGGCCCTATATTTGTAATGCACTAAAAGGCATCTCTCTAACATCTATAGTTATAAATATCAGTGTGTTGTGTTCTTGTGTTCTCCAAAATAGGAAAGCATTCAATAAATAGATGTTTGAGCTCATTTTTGGAAAATTAGCCTAATGAAAGTGTAGCTGTAGGTCCATGAGCCCCCACCCGAGTCTCCCCACCAACTTTCATCACACAGTTACTCCCTTGCAGTAACGGGAGCCTGGACCCAGTCCAGCCCAGCAGCCCCCCCAATCCCCAACCCCCAAAAATAGTCCTCCTTTTCAGAGACGGAGCTCTTGTACGGCTGTCCTCTGCAGATTATCCATGATCACAATGTCAGGTTGGACTGTTTGTATCTGGAAGTCCCACAGGACCTGAGCCCTCTCATGCTTAACCACTTTGGGAGGTCCAGATTGTCTGAAAGCTAACGGTTACTAAGCATTAAGCCTGATTGTCAGGTCTTGGTGATGTTTTTGTATTCTGGATTGCCTTGCTCTGCCTTGCCCTGTGATTGCGATGGTACAGGATTAAACATTAGCAGACGGGAGCGGGAGCAAACCAATAGCAACTAAAAAAAACTAGGATCGATGCCAAAAAATTAAATAAAATAGAAAGAAAAAAAATCCAGTACTGGTGCCACCATTTTGTAGTTTTTTTCCTTGAAGCTATAATGCGAGTCAAAAAAACTACACGACCCAAAAACCAACAGTGCTTCCACTCTGAGTTTTTCACCCGCGCTCGAAAACGAGAATGGGAGTGGTGCAGGAGCGGGAGTCATTCTGAATGGGAGCGGGATGGGAGTCGGAGTAATTTCACCAGGAGTGGGACGGGACAGGATTTAGATTTCTACTCTGGCCCAGGATCGGAACGGGACACAATTTTTTTCTGTGGGAGTGGGACGGGACAGGAGTGAAAATCCACTCCCGTCTCAGACTCTACTGTCCACCCTCCTACACACCATCACCAGAGAGAGTCTCAGTTTGCACCTGGACCCAGGACACCATCCTTCCAAGCCCTCTGTGGTTGCCCTGATTCAGAGTCGTTCTTCCCTAAACATGACACCGTGTGGATTTCTGGATGGATCTGGGTAGCATAAATGTTTTGATTGTCTGCACCATTTAAAAAAAATTTGCACATTAAAACTGAACAGCTACTGAGAAAAGACAGTTTAGTTGTACCTGGACCCTGGACCTTGGGTAGGGTTAGAGGGGGCAGATGGGATGGAGCTGGAAATCGGGTCATTTTGGGTAGCAGTTAAGCTTTTTGGCCTGTTCCAAAACACAGACATATGTTTATCAGAGGCTAGCTAAAAAGCTAAAGAAACTTTTTAATATTCCCTGTGCTGACCTTATGTACTGAAGGATCAGATTCTTACCTCGGTGTTGAAACTGATTTTTCTTTTGGCATGTTGGTTTCTGTTGAAATATTTAATTTTACTATGTTATACATCAACACATCTAATTGATTATTGACTATAAAGTTTGCAGAATAAAGCTTTATACAGCATAAAGAACCTTTTGCTGTGTTATACAACAATAGAGGAATCGACTCACCTCCTGATCCAGGAAGTTTTGAAACTGTGGGGGAAAGTTCTCCCTATCAAAACATACAGGAAAAGCATGCGCAGTATCAAGATACATATCCAACAATCACTCAACACAAAAGCTAGCCCACCCCTTAATACAACAGAGAAATCTTACATTTCCAGGTTCTTTGACTGTTGCCACAGGATTATCAGCAGCTTTCCGCCTTAGAGAGTAATATATATATATATATATATATATATATATATATATATATATATATATATATATATATATATATATATATATAGAGAGAGAGAGAGAGAGAGAGAGAGAGAGAGGGGGAGAGAGAGAGAGATAGAGAAATGGATATGTACATTTTTTTGATTATTGAAATACATTCTTTCCAACAATTTTTTGGGGCTTTTTTAATGTTGTATATGCTATATACAAAGACTCTTTGAAAGAAAATGTGAGTTACAACAACATTTAATTTCCACACTGGAACGCTTTTCAATTTTTTCTGAATTAAGTTGACTTCTAGTGATAATGACTAGAAATAGCCTCCAAACATAGCCTGGGCTCAGGATCTGAGCTCTTTCAAATAACCTGGACTCTCTTCTACTCTGGAGTGGCCCACAGGAAGAGGTGGAGGGCTGAGGTTTGCCTGGTGCAAAAGTGTGGTGCAAAAATGCATTGACATGGAAGTTCAGAGCGTTAATATCTATGGAGAAAATCTGCAGTATTTTGGTTTGGTGTTATTAGTGTGATGCAGAGTCTGTGACATGATTTAGGATGTTCTCAACAGTTCAGCAGTCTGATGGCGGTGGGGAAGAAGCTGCTGCAGAACCTGCTGGGACCTGCAATGAATGCTGTGAAGCCTCTTCTACAGTCCATGGTGGGGGGGTGATGGGCTTATAGATAGCTCAGGATAACCTGAGCCAGTCTGCCTCACGGACTAAAACTGGTAGTTGGTTCCACAGGAGAGGAGCCTGAGAACTAAAAGATCTGCCTCCCATTCTACTTTTAGAAATTCTAGGAACCACTAGTAAACCTGCAGATTGAGAGCGAAGTGCTCTGTTAGGAACATAAGGAACAATCAGATCTCTGACATCAGATGGAGCTTGGCCATTTAAGGCTTTATATGTGAGAAGGAGGATTTTAAATTCTATTCTGGATTTAACAGGAAGCCAATGAAGAGAAGCCAGGATAGGAGAGATATGATCTCTCTTTTTCATTTTCATCAGAACTCTGGCTGCAGCATTTTGGATCAGCTGAAGGCTTTTAACTACAGTTTGTGGACTTCCTGATAGTAAAGAATTACAATAGTCCAGCCTTGAAGTAACAAATGCATGGACTAGTTTCTCAGCATCACCCCTGGACAGGAGATTTATCATTTTAGCAATATTCCTCAGATGATCAAAATAACACCATCATTTTTTACAATATAATAATAATTCAACTTTATTGATCTCAGATTGGAGAAATTTACCACTGCATTTAACCAATCCCCTTGGGGAGCAGTGGGTTGCCATTTTGCAGTGACTGGGGAGCTTGGTTCTGTTTTAAGGGTCTTTGCTCAGAAACCCAGAGAGGCAGCCGTGGGAGTGGGGCTTGAACTCAGTACCTCAGGATTCCAAGCTCTATGCCCTAACCACTAGGTCACCACTTCCCTTAAGTTATCTGAGATCAGTTTAATCCCAAAGTCTGCATTAAGGGGCATAAAGTTAAGAGTCATACAGGTTTTTATGTCTTTAGACATGCCTGTTATCTATGTAATTGTCACAGTCTTGGTTTTCCATTTGTTGTCCTCTGCTGCCCTCTTGTGTCCTCTTTCCCTAGCTCTGTTTTCTGCTCTCCCCTCACCTGTTTTCAATTCCCTCGTTAGCCCTCTCTTTGTCTCTGTCTCCTTTAAAAGCCTCCCTCTTCAGTTCCTGTTTGCTGGATCCTCGTCAAACATCTATCTGCTTCCCTCGTCTCTCCCTGGCTCCTAGAGTTTGGTTTTCCCCTGATGTCTCCTTGGTTCTGGTTCGTCTGTTATTTCTGTTGGATTTTTGATTCCTGCCTCGGTTCCTGTGAACATCATTAAACCCACCTAAATTCACCTCTGCCTACTTGCCTCTGCATTTGGGTCCTCAAACCAACACCAAATCCTGACAGTAATGGGTTAGCTTCATCTGGATTATAGACAGATATAGCTGGGTATCATCAGTATAACAGTGAAAATTAATCCCATGCTGTCTAATAATTCTACCGATTGGGAGCATGTACATGGTAAAGGGAATTGGTCCTAGCACTGATGCCTGTGGTACTCCACAGGTAACCCTGGATCATGAGAAAGATTTGTCACTAAAGTGAACAAACTAAAATCGATCAGATAGATAAGATTTAAATTGATAATTGATTACAGTAATCCAGGAGGTTATTATTAAGGGGTCTGAAGGAACCAGGTTATGAGGAAATACTGTTATTTCTTCACATTCTATGCCATATGTCAGCACAAGGTCCAAAGTATGAAGATGATGATGTGTGGGACTATTCACATTTTGAACAAAGCCAATAGCATCTAAGATAAGATCAAAGGCTGCACTCGAGCTATCACCTTCATGTTAAAATCCAAGACTACGATGACCCCATGCGTATTCAACACCAAATCAGATAGCAACTCAGAAAATTTTCGAGTGCTTTTTCTAGATTTGGGGGAAGGCTGGAGACAATTTAGAGTCAGAGGGGACCCTGCCACCATTGTCAATACGGCAGCTACAGGCTGCAATGGGCAGCTACAACCCGAACCAAGATCCAACCAATTTTGTTTAACACCTGAAGAAAAAGAGACAATTTCCTTTGGTTGGTGATCAAAAACTGCTGATAGCCATAGTCTAAATTTCTAAATTGATAAAAGACAACTGGATTGTAACAGCTGGCCCAGAATTCCAACCTTCAGTAAAAACATTATTGGTGAGTAAGAAGATATCAATTATGATCATGTAACTAATTATCATAAATTGGTTTTACTCTTAATTTGAATGTCATACTAATTAACTGTAACTTACAGCTCTAGTTATTTAATGTATACATAATCTGTTGGTTCAAACATGATGTTATGATCTTGGCGCTGATGAATGGCTTGATTGTTCGTTCTATTCACCTTTATCTATTATCACCTATGACCTTAGAGTCTCAATCTTTATGTTTGCCTGGCTTTAGAAATTGAGTTTATGATTACATAGGAGTGCGTTTGCAACTGTGGAGGCAGACATCTTTTGCGCTGCGGCAGTGCAGAGCTGAAAACCTGGTGAATATATTATTTCCGTAAAAGTTTAAAAACATTCCACTGGACTTCGTTTCCAAGGTTGAAGATGTTTTGCTTCCCCTCCAGGAAGCTTTCTCAATTCAAATGTCTGGATCCACAGTGAGTTTGAGGCTTTATATAGACAAGGCCTTGTATCGCTTGGAAGCAAATTGAAACCGACGAGCAGGTCGTTTGGTTCCATTGTTAGCCTGTAATATCTGAAACCTGTCTATGATTATGAAGGTCGTTAAAAGAGGGATTGTCTCCTTTAATACCTGAAACATGTCTATGATTCTGAAGGGTCGGTCGTTAAAGGAGGGATTGTCCACCTGGCTGGAGAGAGGAGGTGCTTAGTTCCTCTGTGAACTGATGGGGGTTGTGGTGATACCTGGAAGGGATCATCTCTATAACTGAATTGTAAGTTTTTGGAAGCTGGAATCTGAGTCCACCACCTCTGTTTAAAGTTGTTTTTTCTCTCTTAACATAGATGCTTCCTTCACGCCCCTCTCAAACCACCTATATCCTTCATCCAGAATGTGAACATTCTGGTCCTCCAAAGAATGTCCTTTGTCCACAAGGTGTAGGTGTACTGCGGAGTCTTGTCCAGAGGAGGGCGCTCTTCTGTGTTGGGCCATGCGTCTGTGGAGAGGTTGTTTGGTTTCGCCACTGAACAGCATTTACCACTCCGCTCATATTCCGTCTCGGGGTTTTATCTTTCGGATGCACTAGCCTCTGTTTAAGGGTTTGGTTTGGTTTGAAATGCTCTGGGATCTTGTGTTTGGATAAAATCCTCTTGAGTTTTTCAGAGACTCCAGTAACATAAGGGATTGTGATGGTTTTGAGTTTTATTTTCTCATCGTCTTTTGGATTTCCTTGCTGATTTGATAAACACCCAGTTTGGATATCCACAGGTTTAGAGAGCATCCCTGATGTGTTTCTGTTCTTTGTGCTTCCCATCTGTTTTAGTAGGGACACGTTCTGCCCAGTGTTTTAAGGTTCTGATGACCGAGAGTTTGTGTTCCAGTGGGTGGTGTGAGTCAAAAAGAAGATTTTGGTCTGTGTGAGTAGGTTTCCTATACACTTCAATGTTTAGGCTTCCATCTCCTTCCATGCTCACCAGACAGTCCAGAAAGGGTAGTTTGTTGTCCTTGGCATCCTCCCTGGTGAATTTGATGTTAAGGTCAACAGAGTTGATGTGTTTTGTGAAAGCTTCCACTTCCTCTAGCTGGATTTTGACGAAAGTGTCATCCACGTATCTAAACCAGTGGCTTGGTGGTGTTCCATTGAAAGTGTCTAAAGCTCTCTTTTCCATTCCTTCCATGTAAAGATTGGCTACAATTGGTGACACTGGAGATCCCATTGCGCAGCCATGCTTCTGTCTGTAAAAACTATCTCTGAATTTGAAATAGGTTGTGGAAAGACAAAGGTCCAGTAGTGTGCAGATCTGGTCCGGAGTGAAATTAGTTCTGTTGTTTAAGTCACTATCTTGTTGAAGACGTTTCCTGACTGTTTCCACTGCCTCTGTTACAGGTATGCATGTGAAAAGTGAAGTAACATCAAATGATACCAGGGTTTCTCCTGGTGCCATCCTTAAATGTTGGACTTTGTTAGCAAAGTCTTTGCAGTTTGATAAATAATTACAGCTGCAATATTGGTGATTTTTTTCATTTGCTTTGTAAAATATTTTTTGTTCCTTTGATTTCTTCCTTGGTGTTACTTCAAACAACACCATGCAGCCACTTTGGACCAGCAGAAGTCCTGGAGTTCCTGATGAAGATGAGGAAACGTCTAACCTGTAGATTATATCCTGCATCAGACATCCAGATATTTGTCTGATCAGCTAAGGGCAGATCTAACAACAAATGTTAGTTTAGTTACAGTTAGTTAGGGTTTGCACTGCTCTGAACATGCCATATCAATGCTTTTTGCACCATTTCTTAAAACTAGTTTTCCTTTTCTCCTAAACTGTTTACATTTTGAAAACTGCTGCACTTTATAAATGGAAATGTTCATTTCACTGCTAAGCTGCTCCTTTGCTGTCGCCAAGCAGTATGCATCAATATTTTGTTTTGTGTACAAAATGGCAACAAGGTCTGTCTAAGTCTAAGTTTTTAAGATGAAGTTAGCAAGACTGCTGTAAATACATGCCCTGGGTCACATGACCCATCCAGCCACGGAGAGTTTTTTAGAAGGGCAGCTCATACCGAACATGGATATGTGCCAACCTCTCTCAACTGACCTGAAATATCCTTTGATATATATTTAAAGTAAGATAATACTTGAGACAGAAGTTATACAGTGTTGGTTTAAACAACCACATGGAGCTGTCCTGCAAAAAAATCACATATAGCTTCAGTTTTATGGCCAAGTTTTTTTAATTGGCCAGATCTTTTAAAAACAAATTAGAGTGAACTTTACGTATCACATGCTTTCCTTCATCATACCACTTGATAGGTCTGTTCTCCTATTACCACTACACAAAGAGTCTGTCATGGCTCGTGGCATTTATGTTTTGAAATACTTAAAGATTAGTGGGTAGAAAAATGTTTTACTAATATTTGATTAAAGAGAAAACTGTGTATTCAGAAGACAAATTTCTAAATACACATATGTGTTGGTGGCTGGAAAACAATTATATGTGAAGTTAAAATTAACAGGCTTTTTGGCATAAAAATTAAAATAGAAAATATATTTGAAATTATTTAAATATTAATAAAATATAGATTACTTACCTCCTTGCCAAAATTGCACTCATTTCCCCCATTAGGTTACCTCCTCCGCCCCCACCAGATGATGATGATGGTTTGGAGGCTGGTGCTGCCCCATCATCCTGTATGAAAGAAAAACACTTCCAGTTAGGTTCTATCCTTTGATTTTAAGGGAAATAAATGTGTCTTATACTTATATTGAAAACTAAAGTAAATGCAGTGCTTCTCAAAAGTATTCAGCCCCCTTGAACTTTTTCAATTTTTCCCCACATTTCAGGCCTAAAACATAGGGATGATAAATAGAATCCACCTGTGTGTAAGAGTTAGCCTCCGTATAAATGCTCCTGCTTTGATCGTCTTTAAAGCGCAGATAACATCAGGAAGAACAAGGATCACACCAGGCAGATCCTAGATACTGTTGTGAAGAAGTTTAAAGCCAGAGAGAGAGTAAACTCTGTTACCTTTTTACTCCTGTTTTATAGTCCGTTTTTATATGGTTTCACCCAGTTTGAGTTAAGAGAAGTAAATAACTTGCTCCCAGTAAAAGAGCCGGTAGGGAAGTTCTGAGGCACAGCCGCTTTCAGGGCGACCTGACTTCCATATTTAACAAACCTGAACACACCATCCCCTCTGTCAGACATCGCATTGGCAGCATCATGGTTTGGCAGACACCCTGTCTACTTTTAAGGCTAGGCTTAAAACTTTCCTTTTTGATAAAGCTTCTAGTTAGAGTGGCTCAGGTTATCCTGAGCTATCTCTATAGTTCTGCTGCTATAGGCTTAGACTGCTGGAGGACATAGGGACCCCTTTTTCATCTTTCTGCTTCATTCTATCTCTATTCTCTAAATAAAAACTAAAACAAAAATTTAAATTATCATGATGGAGCCATCAAGGTGTCTTTACCTTCACAGTTTTCCGCAATTTAGCTCCTGCAAGAGCAGCTGCAAGATCTGTGCTGCCTCCTTGTCCTCCAACTTTTCCACTTCCTCCAGCAGGGGGTGGTGGTGGTGCAGGTGGGACCGCACCACCAGAGGGAGGGGGAGGAGGTGCTGGTGGGCAAGGCCCAGCAGAAGGAGGAGGTGGTGGTGGTGGTGGTGGTGGAGGAGCACCTGGTGATACAGAGCAGGTAGGGGCATCTGACCCTATGGGCTCTTTCTCCTGCTGTTCCTGCTTTTGTTGCTCAATCCTGTACAAAGACAGAGGTTTATTTCCTGCTGTTTCAAAACGTTATAAAAACAAACATGAAACACATAAGTATGCTGTATCACTGTACCTTTTCTGCTGTTCAGGCTGTTGTGGGGTTGGTCCATTTTGACTTGACACTGGAAAACCGTTCAGAAACATCATATATACCTTAACAGTCACAAACTTCTTTTTATTTGTAATTAAATCCCTTTATTTTCCCACAATGGGGGGATTTACTCTCTGCATTTAACTAATCCCCTTGGGGGAGCAGTGGGCTGCCATTTTGTGGCGACCGGGGAGCAGTGTGGGGTTAAGGGTCTTGCTCAGGGACCCAGAGTGGCAGTCTGTGGGGATCATTATTTCTATCCATATAAGACACTGACTCACATTTATTTTAGTTACTGTGGTTATGTTTAATCCTAATATTTAACCTAACCATTACCAGTATATTCCTAACCCTAACTGTATCCTAAAGTTGTTTCACATCATACCTCTAACCTAACCATCCAAAAGTTGACTGACGCTGAAATCCAGTTCTGGGAGGAGAAAATGTGCCACCTCATCAGCAGCATGCTCAGGTAGATATCAGAACCATCCTTCAGGCACTTTGAGGTCACAATTAATTAAAGTTTTATCAGCCTGTGATCTGATATTACTAGTCTAATTGTATTGTAATGTCCTGTGAGATCGGACTAGTCGCAAAGGCTGCTGGTTAATATCAAGATGGGAAACACCTCAGGATAAGCTAACATTATATTCTTGAGGTTGCAATTAAGTTAAAATTGGCACCTTTAGAAGAGTGTTTCACTATCTGCTTATGAGGGGAAAAGCATTTCTTGGTTGGTTGAAGTGAATTAATAGAGCTTCGCTCCTGGACGCTGGTTTCAATGTTGAGTTAGTTACATGCTGACAAACATGCTACAGTATGATTCCAGATACACACCTCTATAGGGTAATAATTTAGTTATACTTGGATTGTCTTTAGGTTATTTTGTTTTTTGGTGAGCTTAACTTGTAATGAATGTTGATTATTAATTGGAAAATAATTATTCATCGTAATTTAGGAAAATATTTCAGTGTTCCCTTTATTTTCTTTTGACATTTATTTTCATTCTTTCAGGACATCCTGGTGAGTAGAGGATCACAGTTAAAGTTGTCATTGCATTTATAGAAAGTTGTTTCATTCTCAGATCACTCAGCTTTAGGTACCTGCAGTTCCAGGTGCACCGAGAGCCTCTAATGCATGCGTCATAGAGTTGGCAAAAACAGCTGCATCTTCTTTATTCCCAAAGTTTAGGCCCCAGACGTGTTTGGGATCTCGCCACTGATGAAAGCTTGGTGTTGCCTGATTGTACTTCATCCCTTTGACAATGGGGCAGTTGAGCACTACCTGACAAGGACAAGGAAAAATGTTAGAAAAGGGAATGCATTTTCATACAACCAAGGTTTCAAGTCCATCACATTCAGTTGCTGTATATGCTTTCTTTCAGCTATTAAGGATAATATCCATCCAACCATCTTCTTCCTCTTATCTGGGGTCGGGTCGTGGGGGTAGCAGCTTCAGTAGGGAGGCCCAGACGTCCCTCTCCCCAGCCACTTGGTCCAGCTCCTCCGGGGCAATCCCAAGGCGCTCCCAGGCCAGCTGTGAAATATAGTCCTTCCAGGGTGTCCTGGGTCTCCTCATGGAGGGACGTGCCTGGAACACCTCACCAGGGAGACGCCCAGGAGGCATCCTAACCAGATGCCCGAGCCACCTCAACTGGCTCCTCTGTATGTGGAGGAGCAGCGGCTCTACCAAACGGGGCCATGGAATTGGAATACACGGAACCGGTTCTGAACAGGGACCAGTTTTCGATTCCCATCCTTAGCAAGAGGTGACTGAATGATATTTTTGAAACTATATGTTGTCATCATATCAATGCGATCTGAGGAGCAGAGTGAGCAAAGTAGCGTATGCCCTGACTTTCTCTCTCCTACTCCTCTCTCGCTCTAATGTTTTTAATTCTTTCTCCCTTTTTTTCTCCCTCTTCTGCTCTTTAAAGTATCTCAAAAACTGCACCACTGGGAAGAGCAGTGTAAGGATTAGTAGATACCTAGTGGGGTCCTGGCTGATTGGTGAGGTATATGTGCCAAACAGATCATTTTAAAAATTGTTTATATAACAATAAATGTAGTAATCAGCTGATTGGGAGCAGGTGTGGGCAGAATGATCTAGAAAGTAGTTAGGGGAAAGGAGACTGACACAAGGGGGCAACAGAGAGTAAACAAGACATACAACAGTGCTGAAATATAACCTAAAAACATGGATGACACTAAATTGAAATGAAACTGACAGAAAGCACAGAATGACATAAATCAAAGTGGGACTAAAAACCCAAAGTAAAACTCAAACAGAACCAAAGGGCAGAAAAAGCAGAATCCTGACTAGTGGATCAGCCTGGTGGAGCATATACAGTAAGACCTGACATTATAAATGCTCCCAGACAACATGGTGACCAAAATAATCAGTGATAAAATGGTCAAATGACTATTTAGTTAAAACAAAATAAAGCATACGAAAGAAATAATGTAACAAATGTGATCTATTTGTCTTTACTGTTTCCAGGTACAAGTAGGCAGTAAACCACAGACATTACAGAAAGATCATTAATGACTTAAGTTAAATCTCACACTAAAACCAGAAAGTCATAGTTTGTAATTTCTACAACTTTACTGCTTTTTTGTTAGTTTTTTATACGATACACATCTATTTTGTTTAACCCATTTAGGCCGGGAAAGCATTACCGCATTTCTACCATTCAAGCCGGGGGCGCTGTTGCGTAATTCTACCATTGACGCCGGGAGAGCATATAAGTCAAGCAAGAAGAAAGAAGTTTTTTTCAAGCAAACATGGAGGAGTTTGACAGAGAAGAGATGTCGGAAGGCAGTGATTTTGAGGAGTGTGTCGGCTTTGATGACGGTATAGATGAAAATGATGACTTTGAACGCGCTGAACCAATCGAACTACCACCGCAATGCACGGAGTGTTTTCAACCGCACACCTGGAGTGAAAGTTGATTTGCCTGCAGACACCACACCGCTGCAGGCATTTGAGCATATTTTTAAAGAAGAACTTTGGATGCATCTTGTTACCGAGACGAATAGGTACAGTGACCAAACAAACCAAACTCCAACAAGAGCAAAGATGGCAAAGTGGTCACCCGTGACTGTGACGGAGATGAAGACATTTATTGGGCTGTGTATGGGCATAGGACTTCTTGTGTTGCCAGTAGGCTACGAAGAGATTATTGGCGACAGAGTAAACCTCTCTTCAGGACGCAGTTCCCCCAAAATATGTCCCGGGACAGATTTGTGGCCATCTGGAGGTAAGTTGTATGCAATTAATAACACAGACATATGCATTATTATGCATAATAATACTGTTAATAAGTAATCATCAGATAGTTATTTATGTAATGTTTGTTCTTTATTTTAAAAACGTTTTATATTGCACATTCTCAATGAAGACATGATCACATATGGAAAAAATAAAGGTTGAATTTTTTATTTTTTTATTACTGCTTTTCACTTTTTTTTTTTGGAAGAATTTCAAAGATAAAATATATTTTGAGTTCTATCTGCTACAGAAGCTGAGATATCAATAATTTACTAGGCGTTGACACAGTTGCTGAATTTACAGAAAAACTTCAGGTTTTAGGGGTATTTTTTAAAATCGGCCATAGGTTTTTAAGGTGTTTTTTCCAGGCGTTTTAGGCCTAAATGGGTTAAACAACAAAGGAGATGTGTATTACTTTGGACGACATGCAAGTCCCTAATATTTTGTGTCCCATACCTGCTGATCAGCCTGCAGTCTGCGGCCCACCACTCTGAAGGTGTTGGTTGAAAGGTTGTGGTAGATCTGGACACGGCTGAATTGGGGTGCATCTGATCCTACTGGCACCCAACGCTTGCTGCTGTCATCGTACAGCAAGACCGTTGCTCTCACTTGACAGAGACTTGACTCACTACAGGAGAGAGCAATATATGGGAAAAACAAAAGATCATTGAAACCAGATTGAAAACGTCTGTCATGTTGTCGTCCACCATCTTTGTATTGAACCTATACTTAGTTTGCATAGTTAAACTCTTTCCCGTAACCTCCAAAAAATTCTGTTGTTGTGTTCAGGGTTTGAGCTTGTCGTGGGGAAAAAAGTAAGAAAGAGAGCAGTGGGCTTTAGGCTGCCCTGCAAGGCTTTAAACCTGGGTTTAACCGGAGACTAAGCCATTCTCAAGCACATATCAAGGAGCTCATTTTGAGCCTGGATCCAGATTTATTGTTGATTCTGTTCATGGTGGAGAATCCTGCTTCACAGCAGCAGGTTGAGCCAAACATCCTCTAAATGTTCAGGCTCCGCTCCAGTCCGGCCAGGTCAAGATCCACTACTGCAATCGCACCAAATAGGAGAAAAAACGGCGAAAAGATCTGCTTTGTCAAATTAAAATACAGTAACAACAGATCGGTAAATACAAATTAGAGCATAATTCTTATGTATTTCAAAAAACTAACACCGTTTATTTAAAAGATTGATGCAAACTATTGGTCCTTCAACAGATCAGGAAGCAGATTTCTCATCTCCATCAGAAACCGAACATCTGCTGGATGCTGATGGGGATTTTTTTCAATCTGTCATGTTAAATTAAGCGTTAATATCTGCTGGTTTTAAATGTTTTAAATCAGGTGGATCCAGATCCGGACCACGGTCCGCTAATCCTAGACCTCCGCCTTATAGTGTCCCCACCAACTTTCATTACAAAGTTACACGCTTTCTTAAAAGTTTGTAGAAACAAAGCAAAATAAGGGGCCGGGTAAAAAAAAGACTAAAAAAATTAAAATACTGTACTGTACTGTGTTTTTTGTGCATCTGGAGAATAAATAATTAATAAACAGTTGTGGACATTTTCACTGTGGTGACTTTATTTTTTCCTGAGGGGAGATTCTTTTCCACATACAGAGCTCATTTACACAAAGACATAAAAAAAGACACCACAGTAAACACCAACACCAGCAAAAGTACAAGACATGATACGAGACATGATACACTCAATTGGGACTGTTGTTTAAAAAGGTGATGGCTGAAGGGATCAGGCTCATGCCAAAACGGGCCCTTCTACACCTGAGTGCCCTGTACCTCCGTCCAGAGGGCAGGGGTCTGAGGTAATGGGTGACTGGGGTCTCGTGGATATGGAAAAATATCAGCAACACCAGAGATGTGCAAAATGATAGCAGCATGTTATTTAAGTGACTAAAACAGAAACTATGCAAAAATCAGCATCAGTGTATCAACTTACCCACTGCCTCTGGGCAGCGGCTTGATACAGGTCTCAACAACTCAACAAAATATGCCACTTAGAACGCACTATGCTGCGCCAGGGAGTGGGCCAGAGGTCACAGCGAGCTAAAGATTGAGCTTAGAAGGAATCCCCACAGACCACGAATCCTATCAATCCTGTTCTCCAACGTCCACTCATTGGATAACAAAATGGATTATCTCCGCCTCGAACACTCTTCAAAAAAAGAGCTTAGCAACAGCTGCGGCATCATCCTGACTGAGCCATGGCTACATTCATCTATATTGCGGACAATGCTGTTAGCCTGGAGGGCTCTTTAGTGCGCCGATAGAAAGAAAGAACTCATCAGTAAGACCAGAGGAGGGCCTCTTGGTGTACATAAACAACAAATGGTGTAAAAATGCTAGATCAGTCGCCAGCTTCTGCTCTCCAGACATCAAGTTTCTGACTGTTAGCTGCAGGCCGTTCTTTCTGCCCCGAGAGTTCAGTGTGGTTAGCATCACTGCTGTTTATGCCCCCCAGAGCTTTTACAAAAATAGGCCATGAAGGCTCTATACCAGGCTATCTCTGAGCTCCAATCTGCACACAGAGGCTGTTTTCATCATTGCTGGGGATTTTAACCAGGCTAAGTTGAAGACTGTTCTCCCTCATTTCTACCAACATGTGGACTTTGGGTCAGAACACTCTAGACACTATTACCCTTCTCTAACACTAAAGATGCATTCAGAGCAGCTCCTTGCTCCCACCTCGGGTCATAAGTTCACTTTTCTGTAATGCCAATTTCTGCATACAGGCCCCAGCTAATCAGGGCTAAACCGACAGTTAAAGAGGTCAGAGTGTGTGGTCTGAGGGTGCCATGGAGAAACTCCAGGACTGTTCTGAATGCTCTGACTGGAACATCTTCAAGGCTGCAGCAACATATGACAACTTATTAAATATTGATGAGTGTACCATGACTGTGTCAGCCTCCATCAACAAATGCATTGAGGACGTCAGCATCAAAAGAACATCACCACCCAGGTCCAACCAACCACCCTGGATAAATGGAGAGGTTCAGAAATCGCTAAAAGCACCGAACTCAGCTTTCAAGTCTGGTGATAAAGAGGCACTGAGAACAGTGCATGCCAACTTAAACCATCAGATCAGAGAAGCAGAACCACAGCCAGAAGATCCAGGATCTTTTCCACGATGACAGCAACACCAGGAGGATGAGGAAAGGCATTCTGATGATCACCGACTACAACTCACCCTCCCTCCCCGGTAGATGCAGCAAACACTGACTTCCTAAATGAACTGAACAACTTCCTTGGAAGGTTTGAGGCACTAAACAGCCTCCAGCAGTGAAAGCTGTTCCACACCAGGGGGAGGAGGCACTAAACCTGGACGTAGCTGAAGTGAGGAAAACTCTGAGGAGAGTCAAACCAAGGAAGGCCCCAGGGCCTGATAACATACCTGGGCAGGTGAATAAGGAGTGGTCAGATCAGCTGGCTGCTGTCCTCACAGACATCTTTAACACCTGGCTCCACTGAGGACGCCATCTCTGCTGCTCTCCACCTGAGCCTGACACACCTGGAGAAGAACATCTATGCGCGGATGCTGTTCCTGGACTTCAGTTCAGCTTTCAACCAACGAGATCATGGTGGACTTCAGGAAGAACTCTCCTAACCACGCTCCACTGCTCATCAACAGCTCAGCTGTAGAGGTGGTCAGCAGCACCACATTCATCACAGACACCCTCACCTGGACTGGAAACACCACCTCACTGGTCCAAAGGGCCCAGAAGCGCTTGGATTTCCTGCAGGGGATGAGGAGAGCCCACCGGCCCCCCCATCCTCCCCACCTTCTCCAGAAGCACCATAGAGATGCATCAATGACCCCTCACCCCCCCACCATGGACTGTTCTCCCTGCTGCCCTCTGGGAAGAGGCTTCACAGCATTCAATGCAAGACCAGCAGGTTCTGCAGCAGCTTTTACCCCACTGCATTTTGAATGCTGGACTGTAAAAAAAAAAAACTCTTAATCAAGACACAGACTCTGCATCACACTAATAACACCAAACCAAAAAGAACTCAACAAAAAATAATATATTTGTCTTTACGCCTCTCTGAACTTCCATATTAATGCGTTTTGCACCATGTTTTTTCCCCCCACGCTATTTAAATTTGATTACTGCTACACTTTATGAAATGGAAATGTTTATATCACTACTTAGCTGCTGCTTATTCACTGTCCGAAGCTGTACAAAACAAGGTTTATTTCTGTAGACACTGTACAAAATGACAATAAAAGTTGTCTAAGTCTTAAGTTATTGAGGTTGTTGGGAACAGTGGTGGTTCTAGAGTCTTCCAGCTGCTGGGAGGAAGGATCTGTGATAACGCTCCCTGGTGCATTTAAGGTGCAGCAGTCTGTCACTGAAGGAGCTCACCAGTTCAGCACCAGCTGAACCAGCATGGGGGGGGGCTTCCTGATCAGCTGATCCATTATACTGAGATGACAGACTCAGAGGATTTAAAACTGATCATTTCTAATCTAACTACTAAAGAATAATGAACCAGTTTTACCAAGTAAGGAGGAGATCCTACAGATAGGGTTTTTTCTACTCACCCTAAAGTGGTGAGTAGAAAAATGAATAAAAGCTGGAGAATCATTTGAAAAATTCATCTTCTTTAGAGGCTGGAAGTTTCGTCTGCGGGTTTACAAAGGTTAGTCAGGGACTAATCCTGGTTTAGGGACCAAGGCATGGAAAATCTAGGGAATCCCAGTTAGTATATACAATATTTAACTGAGTGTTCTGATTGAGCCAATTTGTTTGGCCAATTCTTCCTGTTAAATCAATTGGCTTCCTGTTAAATCAAGAATAGAATTTAAAATCCTCCTTCTCACATATAAAGCCTTAAATGGCCAAGCTCCATCTTATATCAGAGATCTGATTGTTCCTTATGTTCCTAACAGAGCACTTCGCTCTCAATCTGCAGGTTTACTAATCGTTCCTAGAATTTCTAAAAGTAGAATGGGAGGCAGATCTTTTAGTTCTCAGGCTCCTCTCCTGTGGAACCAACTACCAGTTTTAGTCCGTGAGGCAGACACCCTGTCTACTTTTAAGGCTAGGCTTAAAACTTTCCTTTTTGATAAAGCTTATAGTTAGAGTGGCTCAGGTTATCCTGAGCTATCTCTATAGTTATGCTGCTATAGGCTTAGACTTTTGGAGGACATAGGGACCCCCATTTCATCATTCTGCTTCATTCTCTCTCTGTTCTCCTATTCTGCAGAATCTGTTAGTTCAATCTCTAACCTTCTGCTCTCTCTGCTTTTCCTCAGAGTAGCTTTGCCTCGTCTGTTCCTGTTTGGCTGTGACGTCATCCTGGAAAGAAACATCAGCTGTGCTGCTTCTATCAACACCCTTGTTTATAGATGTTGGAGATCGGCCTGTTTTCCAGTGTGGTCCTGTTTCTCTGACCGTGACTGAGTGGATGTGCTCTCTTCGTCCTCTGGCATGGGAGCTGCCTTGGAGCTCGTCTGCCTGGCTGTGTGTTTCCTGGACGGGGCCGCCTTTTACAGCTGCTTTTTGTATCTCTGCTTCTGTCTCCTTGAACCCCAGTGGGCCTCAGCAGATGGCCGCTCACACTGAGCCTGGTTCTGCTGGAGGTTTCTTCCTGTTAAAAGGGAGTTTTTCCTCTCCACTGTCGCTACAAGCATGCTTAGTGTGGGGGATTGTATTTGAGTCAATGAGTCATTGCAATCAACTGGTTTTCCTTAGATAGAAAACTTTGTATCAATTTGACTGTATGATCTGGTTGAACTGTAAAGTGCCTTGAGATGACATGTGTTGTGAATTTGGCGCTATATAAATAAACTGAATTGAATTGAATTGAATTCTGACGCTCTTTCAATATATAAGCTTATTTTAAGGGTAATGCATGATAAAAATGCAGGTAAACAGATAATTTTACTCAACTTTTGAAAGTAAATCTTACTTTGTATGTTTGTGAGGGAACCTATTCTTAAAGTTGTTTCTCATTAAGAGTGAAAACAACATTTTTTACTCCCAATATCTTTAGACAAGAGTTGGACTGGAATCCCAGAACAGCAACTTAATCACATCTTTTTACAGAATTTGAAGCTAAAAATCCTGCTATTGGAGGAGCTCTGAGCATTTTCACAAAGCGTTGTCATCTTAAAATGGATGTTTTTGCTTGATAATTCTCTGTCCTCTAAAGGTCCTGCTTTAGAGTCTGCACACTCATTATATACTCCACCTACATTATTGTAAAATGAGCTGAAGATTATTTCAGCACAACTCGTGTAAATAAAGTTAGTAAAATGAGTGTTTAATATTGCTCTATAGATTATTTGATCCGAACCTGCAGTGGGGTTGGAACGCCATGTTGCTTTTATGAGTATTAAAACTCTGGGTAATGCATTTATATCTGAAGCCATATTTTGTACTTGTTCCTACTTTTCATGTGGCCAACAAAATCTTAACTTCCTGTTAAACAAAGATTTTTATACCTCGACCACTTCCTGTCTCACTTCATTACCTTTTATGAACGATGCGTTCCTGTCAGTCGGAAATATGTTATTATTTGCAGAATAACTTTGCCTATCTGACAGTAGAGTTTGCAGAAAAATCTGCTTTTTTGTTAGTTTTTTACCTAAACAGCTGACTGGTGTCTGTTAAACAAAATGTGCATGAAAGCGAATGAATACACCCCTCTGATAAATATGTCACAGAGTTTTAGATTGTGTTGCATTTAAAAGTATTTAATATAAACGTCTCATCTCTTCAATTCAATGATGTTCATTTTGCTTTTATTACATTGCTTCATTCTGTTCTCTTAAGAAAATCAGTCAAACTTTTTACTCTAAGTGCAAAAACAGTGAAAGTCTGAACATCCGATGTGAGGATCAGATGCAACACAAACAGGAAATGAATGCAGAACATTTTAGATGTTTGGTTTCTTTTCTAGAAATATTCAAAGGTTGATTTTGTCCTATTATGGCAACATTACATTTTTGTGGAAATGTGCAGTTAGATGTTTGTTATTATTATATACTGCAGCTCTCCAACATTCATCCCTGAAGCGATTTCAGAAAATGAATCCTAACTTAAAATATAATTAATACATTTAATAAAGCATAACTTACCCCATTTTAAAACAATGATGAAAATCCAACGATTGACTTTATGAGACTACTTTCCTGTAAAGACTGAGTGGAAGAAAGCTCGTACACCCCTTTCACTGGTTTTCTGGGGAAACCAACTGGTTTTGGTTGGTGTTTGAAGAGCGCTGCAGCATTCTGTCCTCAGACTGAAACCAACTTCTGCCTTTCTATTCTCATATCTGACGCTGCTTTTTTCTCTCTTCCTGTTCTTGTTTGTACCCTTTTTAACCCTCATTTCCTTTTTAACTTCCGTACCTGTTGTATTGGTTTTACTTTGTTCTCCTCTCTTCATTAAACACTTTAGTTTTACTAACTTATTCTGGGGATGATCTGAACTAAGCTGTAAAGTTGCTTAGTTCAAAAGGAGTTTAACGAAAACTCCATGACTGTGCTGTGAGCAGAGCTGACATTATCACATCAATGATTGCAGCTCTACTTAAAGAGGTTAAATACGGAGCAAACGTTTCTTTTTGGTTTCCTCCAACAAAACTCTGCTCTGTTGACTTTATTTCTATCTTTTATTGTAGCGTTTGACTTAAAAGATAAGCAGGACTTGACATCTGAAAATATGAAACCATGTTAGAATTACCAAAGTTAAATTAAACAGGTTCTAAAGTGCAGAACATTTTTAAGGGAATTATGGTTTAAGACTTTTCAACGACAATGTTGAGTTTTGTTTTCAATCAAGTATATTTTTCTCAACTGACGACAGGGTATTTCTGCTGCTCTACTTCCTTGTTAAAGCTTCTCATATATTATAATGTGTGAAATGATAAAGCTTATAAGCAATGAAACAACTGCAGCTGTGCTGCAACTCAGAATGCTGTAAGAAACTCAAATTAATGTTTGATAATTCTTTGACAATAATTTTCATACTTTTTTCTGCCAAGTCATAGCTTTGCCAAAAAGTAGTTTTTTGATAATGTGGCCTCTTCTGCTGAAATTGCTGAAGTGACGTGCAACTATTGCATGACATTTACATGTTTTGCAACTGTTGCATGAAATTTAACGAACTTAAAACTAATGTCATTTGAAAACTATTTCCTTTCATTTGTTAGGCTGAAGCACCATATGTGGTGTGAGGTGTGGTTTCAATCCAGGTGTATATTAATGCACTTCTGTCTGCCACTGTAGAACGACTCACCTCTTTGAGACCTAAATATAGAAAATGTTCACATGTTAAGAAAGGTAAAAGTGTTCCCATATTAAGAGCTGGGAAAAAAACCTCAGCAGTAAACCGCACTGCAGACTTTATTTATATACAGATAAAGCCCTGGGTGTCATGGTCTTGTTCCTGTTGTGCTTTACGTTGCTGCATTTTTCCTAGTTTTATTGGTTTAATTGCTGTTTTGTTGTCATTTCTACACTGTAAAAAAAAAGCAGTCCGTTTTACAGGAAAACGCTGGCAGCTGTGGTTACCGGAGAATTCCTGTAAAAAAATGCAGCAGTACAGTAGATAAATTAACAGCTCCTGTATGTAAAATGATTTACAGTGAGTGAAATCACATCTGAATTCCACTAAAAAAATGTTACATTAACAAAAAAAGTGTTAATTTTGCATAATTGTGCTGTATATAAATAGACTATTTCCTGTTTTGTTTATGACTAATAATTGCTTATTATACATTAATGAATGGTTAAATTAACAGGAAAATACTAAACAAATAACAATTTAAACTGCATTTCAAAAGGAAATCTCTGTATTTTACACATAAAATCTACTCATAACATACTGTATATTTATGTTTTCATAATAAAGTTATATTGTAGAATTAACTTGTAAACCTGCAAAATAACCTACACCAAAACATGCAAAAAATCATCTTCAGAAAAAAAAATAGGTAAGACATCGCTCTTTGGAAGATTTATTGAACAGCCAGCATCAAAAGTTAACAAGTGATGCATTTGTAGTTAACATCAACATACATGTTAATTGTAGAGCATGTAGCATGTTTATGACACTTAAAAGTTTTTGTTGCATAAAACTAGAATTCAAATCTGTGGTGAAATCCTTCACTTATAACTGAAGAAATTACATGATTCTTGAGTAGACTCTGGTGCAGACACAATACGAGTCAGGAAGCAGCGGCTAGTCAGGAACTACAAGGGGAGAGAGATCAGTTAGATTCAGGCTGGGTAACTGAGTAATTTAGAAAAGATGCAAACTCCTTACAGATCCTTGGAGAGCGGAGCAGATGGAGGGGGTGTCAGGATCCAGAGATCTGCCACTTGATCTCCAGCAGAGAGCGCTGTGGGCCTCCTGAGCTGATTCCTCTACACACCTGGAGATCATCAGCTCATCAGAGGTCCACACTACTTAAGCAGCTGCCAGACCTTCCTTCGACGCCGGAGTGTTGACCTAGTTTGGTTAGCGAACCTGAGCCTCAGAACGTCTGAACTTTACTAGTAGACTCTAGAGAGGAACTAGTCTTCTAATCGCCTTTGTCTTTTGTGCTCACAGGAAACCCTGAAGCTCTGGATGAGCTCCACCTAGAAACCTGCCTGCCTGCTCATGAAAGCTAAACCTGAAGATCTCAGTTTGGATTCCTTCTTCAGCTCTTGGATTGAGCAAGAAACAAACCCAAGCCAGAAACCTTCTAGCTCGGAACTAGACGCTGCTGCTGCTTAAACTCTCTGCCACATCATTGACTCTGGACCTACGGTATCTCACCTCACGGCTCTGTTACAATCTCCTCAAGGTACATCTTGATTCTTCTCTCTATCAATCCATAATCAGCCTGGCTAACCAAACTCTCATCTCTCCAGAAACTCTGAGACCAGTCCCGGACCAGTACCAGAACCAGATCCAGTATTATATCATTGTACATCTTTCAATAAACCTTGTTAAACTTTCCTTCAGACTCTGTTGTGTTCTGCATGTGGGCTAAGTCCTTAAACCCAATCATGACAGAACACTCCGGCCATCAACAAGACCCAGAGGAACACCTCCAAAGGAGGCTTGCGGCTCAAGAAGCCTGGATCGAAGGGCAAGCCCAGACCCTCGGTGAGTTAAATGCTTTTGTTGAACATCAGAATCAAGTTATACAAAGATACGCTGGCTATGAGAGAACTGCTAACACCGCTCCAGTTGTACTTCCTGTTCCTGAACCACTTCCGCCTCAAGGGTCAGAGGTAACGACGTCACTTCCTGAACTCCGTCCTAGTTTACCTGAACGATTTTCTGGAAATCAGTCAAAATGTAAGGGTTTTTTGTTTCAATGTCGTTTACTCTTTGAGGGGTCTCCTGCCAGTTTTTCTACCGATAGAAGGAAGATCTCTTTCATTCTTTCTCAACTCTCAGGCCGAGCTCTTGAATGGGCGGAAGCCAGATTTTCTGATGAAACCAGTTTTTCATGCACATATTCTGAATTTTTGAATGAATTTTCTCAGGTTTTCAACCAGGATTCAGATCAAACAATTGATTCCCGGGCCTTGCTTAATTTAAAGCAAGGAAATTTGTCGGTGGCAGAATTCTCCATTGACTTCCGGGTCAACGCTGCAGCTTCAGGATGGAACGAATGTGCACTAAAGAGTGTTTTTTTCAAGGCTCTTAATGAAAACATTAAAGATGAACTCGCCACAATTGACGAGCCTTCTAGCTTGGAGGATTTAATCCGGTTATCAATAAGATTGGATAACAGACTTCGGATTAGAGATACAGCTAGACAAAAGAACCATGGAATGTCTGCTTCCACCCCTGCATCTAACCGCTCTTCTGTTTCTGTCAGATCACCAGGGTCCAGTACCAGACCAGGGATTAAGAATCAATCGCCTCCAGCTTCAGCTCAAGTCTCTCATTTCTTCTCCCCATCCACAGAAGGAGCGGAATGTGAACCCATACAGATTGGTCATACAAGACTTTCTCCTGAGGAAAGGCAACGGAGATTCAAGGGGAACTTGTGTCTCTACTGTGGGGAGCCTGGACACTTTATTGCTTCCTGCCCAGCAAAATCAAAAGCCGGGGTCCGTCAGAGGATGTGAGGAGTCTGAAGGACCATCTAAAAACTGATAAATCTCCTCACCTACTATTACCAGCAACTCTGTTTGTCTCCAACCAGTCTCTGACCTTGTCGGCCTTTATTGATTCAGGATGCGAAAGGAATCTCATTGATTCAAATCTGGTTCAGCAATTGGGGATTGAGACTGTTCCTTTGCAGAAGCCCCTCAGGGTTGCGGCTATCGATGGGAAACGGCTGCAACAGGTCACTCTTCAGACTCAACCTTTGGAGCTCCTCATTTCTGGTAATCATCGTGAGACTCTGACTTTTTTGTTTTTCCCTCTGCTTGTTCTCCCCTGGTGCTTGGATTCGAGTCATGGTATACTTCCTGATTCGAGTCATGGTATACTTCCTGTAATGAGTCATGTCTTCGTTCTGCTGCTCCCACTAGACAGCCCCCTAGAGAGTCCTTAAACCCAATCATGACAGGGGGAGGTTGGATGAGCCCACAGAGACTGAGTTTGGCTGAGGTGCCGGGCTTCGGCTTGAGAGCTCCAGAGGGTGGACAGGCAGGTGAGCAATCGAGGATGGATCCAGGAGGAGAGAACCGGCTTGGAACTGCAAGGCTTCTGGAAGACAAGGAGGACAAGGAGGTGAGCTTGAGTCAAAGCACAAAGATCTGTCTAGGAGAGCTAGCTGGTAAGTTACCACTGTGTGGAAATTAACCGTCTGGCGTCCGTCCCAGGTAATCCACTCCTCTAAATACTGCTCCCTGATTGCGTCCAATTGGAACCAGCTGGAGGCTTTTCTGGGCTGGAGACTCTGAGGAGGAAAGGTAAGAGAAACCCTAACACAGCTCAGCACACAATCCTGTGGGCCCAACAAGAAAAGCAAGACAGTTTTACATGAACCTGTGGAACATTCCTGCAGGAGGATTATCTTCAAGAAAAAAGTTCGTAATCGACCCTCTACCAGAAAGCTGCAAAATGCACATTTAGACCTCAAAACAAAAAAAAGATACAGTGCCTTAGTTGACATAGTGCACACTGGAAAACAACAAAATCAGTTTGAGGCTTTCAGTAAAGAACTGCTAACATTTGAAATTTTGTCATAGAAAAACAAAAGTTACTTAGCACACTTACAAAACACCAAGAAAACCCCAAACATATTGTGCTGTTATTACCATGACAAGCATTGTGTGTTTAACACAAAACTATAAAACCATTTAATTGATCAGTTAACACCAGTCCTACCAACTCTCTGAACTTTTTTGGTTCCCACAATTTATCTACTATCTCCCGAAGGAATTACAATAAAATGTCTCCATCTCACATCACATATGGCACACATGCAGCCAACCTGAATTTAGTTGAGGAGGATAAGTGTGATGAAGGAGGAAGAGTGTGATAAAGGAGGAAGGGTGTGATAAAGGAGGAAGAGTGTGATAAAGAAGGAAGAGTGTGATAGAAGAGAGTGATAAAGGAGGAAGAGTGTGATAGAAGAGAGTCTGATAAAGGAGGAAGAGTGTGATAGAAGAGAGTGTGATGAAGCAGAACGAGTGTGATAGAAGAGAGTCTGATAAAGGAGGAAGAGTGTGATAGAAGAGAGTGATAAAGGAGGAAGAGTGTGATAGAAGAGAGTGTGATGAAGCAGAATGTGTATAATAGAAGAGAGTGATAAAGGAGGAAGAGTGTGATAAAAAAGGAAAAGTGTGATAAAGAAGGAAGTGTGATGAAGGAAGAGTGTGATAGAAGAGAGTGATAAAGGAGGAAGAGTGTGATGAAGGAAGAGTGTGATAGAAGAGAGTGATAAAGGAGGAAGAGTGTGATAAAAAAGGAAGAGTGTGATAAAGAAGGAAGTGTGATGAAGGAAGAGTGTGATAGAAGAGAGTGATAAAGGAGGAAGAGTGTGATGAAGGAAGAGTGTGATAGAAGAGAGTGATAAAGGAGGAAGAGTGTGATAAAAAAGGAAGAGTGTGATAAAGAAGGAAGAGTATGATGAAGGAAGAGTGTGATAGAAGAGAGTGTGATGAAGGAGGAAGAGTGTGATAAAGGAGGAAGAGTGTGATAAAGAAGGAAGAGTGTGATAAAGAAGGAAGAGTGTGATAGAAGAGAGTGATAAAGAAGGAAGAGTGTGATGAAGGAAGAGTGTGATAGAAGAGAGTGATAAAGGAGGAAGAGTGTGATAAAAAAGGAAGAGTGTGATAAAGAAGGAAGAGTGTGATGAAGGAAGAGTGTGATAAAGAAGGAAGAGTGTGATAGAAGAGAGTGATAAAGGAGGAAGAGTGTGATGAAGGAAGAGTATGATAGAAGAGAGTGTGATGAAGGAGGAAGAGTGTGATAAAGGAGGAAGAGTGTGATAAAGGAGGAAGAGTGTGATAAAGAAGGAATAGTGTGATAGAAGAGAGTGTGATAAAGAAGGAAGAGTGTGATAGAAGAGAGCGTGATAAAGAAGGAAGAGTGTGATGAAGGAAGAGTGTGATAGAAGAGAGTGTGATGAAGGAGGAAGAGTGTGATAAAGAAGGAAGAGTGTGATAGAAGAGAGTGTGATGAAGGAGGAAGAGTGTGATAAAGGAGGAAGAGTGTGATAAAAAAAGGAAGAGTGTGATAAAGAAGGAAGTGTGATGAAGGAAGAGTGTGATAGAAGAGAGTGATAAAGGAGGAAGAGTGTGATGAAGGAAGAGTGTGATAGAAGAGAGTGATAAAGGAGGAAGAGTGTGATAAAAAAGGAAGAGTGTGATAAAGAAGGAAGAGTGTGATGAAGGAAGAGTGTGATAGAAGAGAGTGTGATGAAGGAGGAAGAGTGTGATAAAGGAGGAAGAGTGTGATAAAGAAGGAAGAGTGTGATAAAGAAGGAAGAGTGTGATAGAAGAGAGTGATAAAGAAGGAAGAGTGTGATGAAGGAAGAGTGTGATAGAAGAGAGTGATAAAGGAGGAAGAGTGTGATAAAAAAGGAAGAGTGTGATAAAGAAGGAAGAGTGTGATGAAGGAAGAGTGTGATAAAGAAGGAAGAGTGTGATAGAAGAGAGTGATAAAGGAGGAAGAGTGTGATGAAGGAAGAGTATGATAGAAGAGAGTGTGATGAAGGAGGAAGAGTGTGATAAAGGAGGAAGAGTGTGATAAAGGAGGAAGAGTGTGATAAAGAAGGAAGAGTGTGATAGAAGAGAGTGTGATGAAGGAAGAATGTGATAGAAGAGAGTGTGATAAAGAAGGAAGAGTGTGATGAAGGAAGAGTGTGATAGAAGAGAGTGTGATGAAGGAGGAAGAGTGTGATAAAGAAGGAAGAGTGTGATAGAAGAGAGTGTGATGAAGGAGGAAGAGTGTGATAAAGGAGGAAGAGTGTGATAAAGAAGGAAGAGTGTGATAAAGAAGGAAGAGTGTGATAGAAGAGTGTGATAAAGAAGGAAGAGTGTGATGAAGGAAGAGTGTGATAGAAGAGAGTGATAAAGGAGGAAGAGTGTGATAAAGGAGGAAGAGTGTGATAAAGAAGGAAGAGTGTGATAAAGAAGGAAGAGTGTGATAGAAGAGTGTGATAAAGAAGGAAGAGTGTGATGAAGGAAGAGTGTGATAGAAGAGAGTGTGATGAAGGAGGAAGAGTGTGATAAAGAAGGAAGAGTGTGATAGAAGAGAGTGTGATGAAGGAGGAAGAGTGTGATAAAGGAGGAAGAGTGTGATAAAGGAGGAAGAGTGTGATAAAGAAGGAAGAGTGTGATAGAAGAGAGTGTGATGAAGGAAGAGTGTGATAGAAGAGAGTGTGATAAAGAAGGAAGAGTGTGATGAAGGAAGAGTGTGATAGAAGAGAGTGTGATGAAGGAGGAAGAGTGTGATAAAGAAGGAAGAGTGTGATAGAAGAGAGTGTGATGAAGGAGGAAGAGTGTGATAAAGGAGGAAGAGTGTGATAAAGGAGGAAGAGTGTG